AGGGTGGGACGCAGACACACACATACATATAAATGCATGTTTATACAGGCATGTATTTGTGTTACAACTTTACACTAATGATGCTATAGGTTGAAATTTTTTTCAAAATTCCTACCTAAAACATAATTTTCTTTGACAACCATGAGAATTTTGCTTAAGGTGTTACACCTGCAACAAAAAAAAGCTACAAAACCAAACAGACTTCATCACTGCCTCACAATGTAAGAATGGAGAGAGGAGAAACGTAGACCATGTGATTCTCCTTAGAAAATCAATAGCTATTTAGAAGAGTACAATATTTTTCTTTAAAAGAAATAAACACACTGAAGAACAATAGCTTAGATCCCTTTGCACACAACCGAGCTCTGTACTTAAAATAAAAAGCAGCTTTCAAAGCAAAGGCAGGCAGTTTGATTCAGTAATGTGTAGGGAAAAAAGAATGACAGGGAAACATAAAACTAAAATAAAAAATAAGCAACTGTTACCGCTCTTTCAAAGAGTTAGAATGTTAACCTTAATGTTATAAACTTGAAGAACCCATCAATATACAATATTTAAAATAATTTGCACCACCAGCATTGACTACATTGCACGATATGTTTGGATGGATGTAAGGCAAAAAAATCCACCCTTAAAATGGTGGATTTAATTATTTTTTTAATCATTTAATCACTATAAAAATGAAACAACCTTAAGAAACGGCCAAGGCTGTTACTGATAGAGATGATCTAACCAGCTGAGATTTGAAACACCTTTGTAGCAGGGATTTCTTCTGCATGGTAGGCTAATAAACAGTCTCTAACAGGAAAAGAAAAAACATACAGTGTAAAGACATTACATGCTTCCCAAAAAGTAAAACCAATGGAAGAATTTTCATTCACTTCAAAACCATCAATATACTGATTAGGCAATTTTTCCTTTGATGCACTTTTCATCATCACTAAAAGAAGATATTTATAGTTGGGAATAAATGATTCAGCATAATATTAATTCTTTGAAAGTGGTTCAAGTTCTTTGATGTTAGTGTAGGCATTTCTTACAAATTTGAAAACAGAAAAATGTACATGTTCTCGAATTTTGAGCTTAATGTGAAGAATATTGTAATCTAGACATTTGGATTGTTATAAATTACCAGATGCCATCTAAGAAGATGTGCAGCGCTGTACACAACTACAAATAAACTCATGTAACCACATCACTACATCACTTATAGAGTTGTATGTATGGTTTCCAATAAAAATATGAGAAAACTACTTAAAAGTGGACAATTAATAAATATTAGATAAACTTAATGACATATTCAATTCAACTTAGCAAACTGCCAACCTGAAAATGCTTTTAAACTGTTTAATTTTCCATATTTTAAAAATGAATTTACAATGATGAAGTTGTATCATGGCTGAAGAGTACCAATGCTGAGAACATCCCTGTTATAATTTCCAGCAACTGCCAGTGGGACTAACAGCTTTAGTGTAGTTGTAACTAAAAGACTGATTGGCTCACCTAAGTTCAGCACTTAGAAAGTGAACAAATCTTTGTCATTACTTGTAATAATTATTTGCATATTAAATACCATTATGAATGCTGTATTTTAAAACTAAATTCAGATATCCAAAAGAAAGACCTTTCTAAAAACTCTTGCCTTTGTCAAAAATATATGTGTTATGTGTCTATTTATCCACTTGGCTGGACATATTAATTGCTATAGTAGTAAAGCTACAGAAAGTCAATTTCAGGGCAGTTTTACCATGTGATATTATGCCAAATGTAAAAGGTAGAGGCTTAAAATACTGGTATATTAATGCCCCACAATGCATATTCAGACACTTGAAAACAGGATTTGAGCCGAAACTTTTGTTCCTAGCAACTGCAACCCAAAATTTGTATTACTGTATTAGAAAAGTTGAAGCATTGTATGTCTGGACTGATTTTCTGGTGATTACATGGATACAGCATTTATCTTCTCCATATGCTCTGTGAAGAACTTTTCTTTCATTCCAAGCCTAAAAGCTCTCACTACTTACATGGAAATATTCTTACATCACAGTAAAGACAATTTTAATTAAAGAAATAAAGGTAGATATAAGTGTAGATGTACATATATATGTATATACGCATACTTATATATATATGTACACATACACTCTGATATACATATATATATATACAAACATATATGTTGTATTTTTAAAGTACAGATGGTAAAAAAATACAAATATTTAAAATAATACAAATATTTAAAATAACCTAGATGGCAATTAAACACTGTTATCAGAAATTCATAAATCAGACTAGACTTTTACCTTTCAAGTTTGAAAAATTTAACTCAGCGCTTTTGCTCTAAGCATTTTTGAATAAAGTTGATATGAAGTCTGACAAAAGCAATCTCATACCTTTTCCTCTTCCTCAAATATGAACATAAACTTTTTGCCACAGAAATGGTACAAAATTACAAAACCTGTTAATAATCTTATGTTCAAAAAATCAGATATACTGTTGAAATCATGAGAAAAAAATATTTTATTACATTAAATATTGAACTACACAATTATTATTTCAACCTTTTATCTTCTCCCAGTCTGGACATTTTTGGAAGATCACCCAGAACCATGTCTTGATATACAAATAGTAATCTTGCGTCCAGCCAGGAAAAAAAAATCATTTATGTTTGACATGGTCGAAAGTTTTCTGCAAAATTTAAAAATACTGTAAATATAAGTTTGCAAAATTGCAGCAAAAGTAGCTGCATCTTCCATGGCAGAAACACCATAAAGGGAACAATTTTTATCAATAGGTATTTAATCTAATTCCAGGTTTTGGGACCAAGTCCACAGAATTAAATAGAGGTATATTGTCTGTTCATGTGGTTCTTCATTCTGAAGAGCCACATGTTTATCTGTGGATGTAAACGGTACTTCCCATGTAATCAGGACAACATGAGTCCAAGATAAAGTTTACAGTGCCATATCACTGAACACATCAGTGTTAGTTAATTTGTCAGCAGATTGGAAATAGATGCGATTCATTTTAGAGATACATAGCAGAACTACTAATGTTTGTTATTACTGTATTCAAATTTTTACTGTACAAAACAAAAATACTAAGAGAATGGCTTATTTCAATGACAAAAAGCCAGACTTACAAGAGCAAGGTAAATATTTTACAAGTTCTTCAAGTCAATGGAATCCAGTTGTGTACTTACACAACTAGAAGCAAAATGTGGTCCATTAGCTGTAAATTAAATAGTTAATTTGATAACCATTTAATTACGAACTTCATTACACTTTATTTCTTTGTATATTCAATTAACTAGATGCCTCTTGTTCCTAGGACCTAAATATGCCTTTTTCTCTGCCCCATCTTTGCTCTGTTCAGTTTTAAGAATAAACAATTATTCTAAAGTGTAACAGTGCTTAGCATTTCTGGAGTATCATCATACTGCTAGAAATTCTGAAATGTAGCTGAATAATGAACAGGAAAAAAATAAATTGCAAAAACTTGTAATATTAGGATACTATTTATACATCAATGGAAAAAAACACAAATATGTAAGACAGTATTGCTGGACTGTAAGGAGATCTGTGTGCTCTCTTTTCAGCAAAACACATTGCAAAGCTTCTTAGAAGGGTTGGGAAAAACAAATAGTGTGGCTGCCCCATTCAGATTGCTGCTATCCTGCCCACTTCTCTCACAGGAACGCCTCACTCATCTCCTCCTCCATCCTCTTGTCATTCCTTTGCTTGAGGTCCTGCATTTTCCAGGGTAAGTGGATGCTGCAGAATAGAGGTGCAAGTTCCCTACAATCAAATAATCAATCGAAATGTGACGACTGTTTGAAGGCTGACAGCTATGGCATTGTGTCTGCCATTCACTTCCTCTTCTCTCCCCATTTTTCTTGTTTAATGCCAGTAGTGCCAATAGCATTCTCAGTTCTGCATAAGACAGCAAAAGATTTCAGCCTCCTTCCCTGGTTTGGAGACGCTGTAATTCAGTATGCCACTCTGTAACCTAATGAAAGGCTATTCAGGTTCCCTGGAGACACGGAGCAATATAAAGAACCTGCCCTCTAAAAATGAAGGAGTTCTTGTTTACCCTGTCCTTCAGGATGTAGTGCCTTAATGGACTCGGCCCCCTGAGAGGGAACTATATGCATTAAACAGACTCCTAAGTTTCTGTAAGAAACAACATGCTGGTCAGACATTTTAGCTCCAGCTAAACAGAGATCTAAACAACCTACAAAACCAGGACTTTGCCTTCATTTTTTCTAACAACCACAATTAGCTATTCTTGCCTTTCCAGATATATCTTCTACATTGTGTTTATCATAAGCTCATTTTTATGCTCTTTAAACATTTTTAAAAATTACTTTAATAACTAAAAAATAACTAAATTATTATGTGATATGAGAAAAGGTACCACTGTATCTGAATTCCTCTAAGAAATATCTAAAGCTTTATAAAAAAGTTAAAACATAGGAAAATATTAAGAAATTAAATATTACAGTAGGCAGAATCAACTGAAGATGTTTTCACAACCTTAAGTGACCATTAAAATACTGGATGGTAAAGATATATGTATTAAAAATAAAGGTGTGAGAATGTGGGCTCTAGAACTACTAAAGTGGAAGCTGCATTTTTGTCAGACTTTAAACTGATGAGAGGACTGACATAACATCTGGTGCTTCAAACAGTGTGTAGGAATGTCTAGAAATTCCAGGCTATATATTCTGGGATTAACCACTTGAAATTCAGCTCATTTTGTTAAAGATGAGAGTAAAATATGAAAAAGGGAAGGGAAGGGAAGGGAAGGGAAGGGAAGGGAAGGGAAG